ATTGTAAAATGAAACACGCACAAGTGCAGAACGAATATTGTATATTTCTTTGGAAGTACGGACATCACAATATCAAATTTTTGTTTAATGATTACTGTAAGAAGAAATATCAACATATATGAACATATGGACATAATATGAAAAAAACAACTGTGAAATCTTAAAAGTCCTCTTATAGGATATATAACTATTCCTCAATTTGTGACTAACTGAGCAATCTTACTTTCTTCATGACTGATTTAATTGTGTGACAGTGACATAATCAGACACACGGTGCTTTACATTGAAGTACTTTCTGGTGTAAAATTGAATTTATTGGATTTTAAATGGTGACAAAGGAATTCATTTCTCTTCTTACCATTTTGACGGACTGAATAATCAAAATTATTGATTAACTTTAGGCTTCTCTATTTAAAAAAATCACACTGCAAATCTCTGTTTCTCTTGTTTCTATGACTTTTACAGTTACTAATTTTGTATGTCTTTAAATATGATATGATATTATTAACAGTATATTACACACATCTAGTCACAAATCAGGTAAAACACGTTTGGAGAGGGTTCAGTAAGGTTATATTATAATTGCTCACCCTGTGGACACGCTTGGCACTTTGTATCTTCTTTCCCACATTTCACTGCGACTCCGTATCCGGCAGGACACAGACTGCAACACTGACCCGATTCAGTGAATTCACCACTGGCACAGGCATCTCCAAGAGCAACCTACAGTAAAAACATTGTGCGTTTAGATAAACAGGCAGGCTTAAGCATAGGCATTACATGACATTTCATTTAGCCGCTCAAATAGACCAGAAACAGGGCTGCTTTTGGGAGGGACAGTGATAGGAAGGAAATTACACATAACCGGAGAACAGGGCCCAACCAAACCTCTTTATCAGTGTATCTGCCTGGTCGCTCACCCCTAAAAAGTCTCGGGTCTTACTATCTGAGAGTAAGTACTGGAGAGTTATAAGGGATATATGAGACATTCCTACAGGCTTGTGCAGTGGGGCTGGGTCCTGACAGGAGTGGCTGGCTTTAATCAGCTGGCTTTGGCCCAGTGGAAAGTATCAAGACAGAATTTAAGGGGGCAAACGAAAACACAGGAAGAGGCTATAGCTGAAAAAAATAAAACAAAATTACAGTTGTTTGGGTTTTAATTTAATTCATAATTATTACAAAAATAAAAATACGCACCAGTGTTGTCACAATCAAAATTCAAACTTAAGGAAAATGCTTCATACTGTTTTGATACCACAATTGTTGATGAAATGTAATGTAAATTTCAACAAGAAAATTTAGTTTTTTTTTATATTACCACATGGTCTTAAACTTTTACATTAAATGTTACAGTATTTAATTGATTTAGTGTCAGTAATATGGGGAAAATACCTTAATAGCTTTAGAATGGACTGAATCTATGTTAGAACTATAGTATATGACACATAATATTAAAGAAACTACAATTATTACGTTTTTAAGATTATTTTCTACTGCTCAAAAGTTATGATATCAGATTTTTTGAGTTTTTAGATTTTAAAGTTTATCAGAGTAGGAGGCATTTTGTTTAATATCAAAATGTGGTTTAAAATGTCAGTATTGTGACAACACTACTCTTGATAGACCTGAATGACAATAAGAGTGTGAAAGAAGCAAGTGTGTGTAAAACAAGAGGGGGAAGAAAAGGGAAGGGTCTACAGGAGGTAAATGCAGCCCGGGGCGAGGGTGTCAGTTAGCCAGGGCTGCCCAGCATGAGAGCGTGTGTTTGGGTGAGAGGGCCCTTTGAAGTCCCCCTAACCCTGCAGGTGTGTCTGTGGAGGTCACTATTTCAATAAGGCCCCTCCTTCCTTCTCCAGAGCACGAATTAACGGTATTTTAACCATGCACACGTTTACAAGGCACTGGCCCGCTTTGCCCTGGGCCTGACAAGAGCAAACAGATGTCTAACATCTCACCTACAGCAAAGGGCGAAAGTAACAGCTCAAAAGCCTCAATGATGTCTCTCTCTCTTTGTTAGGGTTTATTGACCCAACACCAGTTACTAATACTTGTCTTTTTGTTGTGAGCGAGAATCAATATTTATCAATGTAAATATTCTAAAATTGATGTCAAAGCCCCAAATTGTAGTAAATTGTAGTTAGGTTACCAAATTAACCTTTCATTCTGTCAAACTTCTAACAAAATGTGTTTTCTTTTATGCTGATCATGTAAGACAACTCTTTAATTTCCATTAGAAATACAGTAAATATGTAAAAAAAATGATCAAACCAATAGAATAATATATATATTTTATCAACATGGATGTATGAAACCATTCCCTAATATGATACCAGTATTAGCGCCAGTATATCACTCATACCCACTCTCAGTCTATATACTCTTTGTCTCTCTGACTTCCTGGTAACATGTGGGGGCCTGTATTATAGGGGCTCAAAGACAAACCCACCACCAGCGTGCTTTCACATGTGTCTTGGTTTGTTTTAGTCCTGATGTAGTACTCCTGGTTGGTCCTGTTCTAATCCTGGTCTAGTTCCGAGTCTCATTTTGGTGTGTGGTGTGTGAGAGCAGGATTAAACACTGAAAATGTCTCACCTTTGAAACTGGACAAGCTCGATGCCAAAAACAACACCAACTTTTATTGCCCTGAGCTGAGACTGGTGGTATCTCAACATCAAAGAGATAGGGGCTGCAAGGTTTAAACTACTCCATTATATCTTTCCTCATCGCATAACACACACAGATCTACTCCATTTAACATGCCACTGCTTACAAGCTTATTTAACAGCCTGTAATCTGTGTGGTTATGGATTGTGGCGCTAACTTGGCCCAGAGCACTAACTCCACCACTTAGAGTACAATAAAAGATTTAGACCAAATACCTTAAACCAGCACTTTGTAACATTTAGGGTAGATGGTTTGCTACCTGCTTGTCTCCAGAGAGATGTATTTAATTTGCCTAGAATGTTCCAGAATATGGCATTAAACTTGTCTATTTTTATGTAGTCAATTATGCTTTTAGTGCTCAACAGTACCTTGGAAAATATGAGCACAGTTGTTTCTCCACAGATCAGACCTGTTTGTCTCCAAAGAAATAAATAAGTTTAATACCATTATCTGCAAACCAACATGAACTAGCATCATGGTCCACCTCAAGAAAAGTTTCATACTGCATCTTTCATGGGAGCATAGCAGCAAAAAGATCTAAGTGGGGAAATTATTGTGCAATTTGGTGATATAAACTATTTAAAATATGACGTTTGATCATCTAAGTATCGGTGATAAGCATTACATCAGACTGTTCATAACCCAGGGGCAAAAGTCTCAGAAAGGTAGAGCTGCAGTTGCTTTTTTCAATTAAGGTAAGAAGCTGGTGCTGGCCATGAAACGATTCCCCAATGAGAACAGAGGGACCACCGAGGAGCGCGGCTTTCAGTGCGGCTCTCAACTCCACGGCTGTCGGGACCACTCAGTCAACACGGCTCTTTACGCGCGCACACAAACACACAGAAGTGACTGGATGCCTGAGACATTTTCAGATCTTTTGAAGTGGCCACATTTGAAGCGTATCGGCTGGGATTTCCACAGTTAATCTAATCTGCGTGGAAATACACACACAAAAGGATGCTCTCTCAACTTGGTGACCTGTAAGCCGTCACAGTGCGCCCGCCAATCGACTTTTTTTTTTTTTACCAGGGAAAGCTGTCTCCAGGAACATCCTAACTCCTCTGATTACAGTCTTTAAAATACAAGAGGCATGAGGAACTAATTAAAGGAGATGGTCCTCTACACTGTACTTTCCACGGAGAATGCTCAAACAACCGTGTTAACAGGGAAATATTTAAATTAACCCTCATCAAGCATACTTTGGTAATTTTTTTCAAAGCTTTACTATTATCTACTTAAGTTGGTTGTTAAGCAGTCTACTGGAAAGTCACATGACACACCACAAAGTAGGAGAAAATGATGATAATTGCTCGGCTCCGGATGTCCAGGCCCTACTAAAACACTGAATGTTACTAATCCGCATTATCGCCAGGAATCCCCATAAACAAACAAGGTGTACAGTAAAAAAAAAAAAAATGTTATCAAAATACTTTAAGCAAACAGAAGTTCCGTGACTCCCACCAGCGTGTTGGGGCAGGACCACAAAGCCCAAAGGCGAGATGAGTGTCAAATTATTGTCCTGTGCGTCTTCTGTTCACGATGATATCCTTTAAATACCATGTTACCACAAGTCAGTGAAGTTATAATTTACTGTATGGATTTATGTCCATAATCCCTGTCTAATGCGCATAAAAGCCCCAAACATCCCCCATGAAAGAAAAATGTGGAAGGAATGGCTGGATTTTTGAAGAATGATCCTTTAAGTTCAGACAAAGTAAAACGCATGAGCTTTACGCACAAGTAGAAAGTAGAAAGTAATGGCACAAAAGCTCTTTAAACGGAACAAGTTCAAAGTAGCGGCGCCAGATTCTTATAAACACGTATGGGAAA